CATTTATAAAGGAGCTGGAGAGGAGAATCAGGAATTGTTGTTAGTAGTTCGAAGCAACAGAGATGTAAACAAAGCCTAATCATTACATGTTGACTCATACACAGTGCATACTCAGCACACTTCAGATGTGCCCTGAAACTTTTTCCCCCTCTATCTAAATCCTGAAAGGTCACAGGAACATACTGGATGCACGTCAAGTTTACGTTTCGAGCTGGCACCTGGCCTCAGAAAAAGAACAAAAAGGAAGAGAAGTATGTTTCCAACATGTAATCAAGACTTATATCAGAGAGAAATGTGCTATCATCAGTTATTTGCTGCCACTAGATCCTCAGCTATGGAACAAAATACATAATTCAATATTATAAATGCTTCAAGAAGCAAGGGATGGTAACAAAGCAATATGCTCCTCATTTTTAGCCTTCAGGCAGAACATCATTTCCATTATAACCTTTCATAAAATGACACATATCTCTTCTTCTTACAAAACAGGCAATTATATTTTTGACAATAGCTGCTGAATGACTAGGTCATTACAGTAACTACTGCTGTTTGAAAACGGGGATGATATATTCTGTTCATGGAGGCAACAAGGCACAGTCAGCCCTCGACCAGACTCTGCAAACAATACAGGCTGCTAGATTGTCCTCTTCCATAAGCCTGCAGGAAAAGGATCACAGTGGGGAAGGGGAGAATTCCAAAGTTCCCCTCCCAAATGTCTCACCCAAATTGTTCTATTAGGGGAGCAGGGTTTGCTCACTCAAAGACCAACAGGAGTTTTTAGCCTCCAGAACATGAAGATCCGAGGGGACTGGCAAGTTCTAGGTAAATTCCACCCAGCCCATATCCTCTATCCTTGGCCTGGGAGAGAAGACAGCCTTGCAGCATTCTCGATGTCTCTGTCAAAGATCCATCTTCACCTGCTGCTACCTGCTTCCTCTCCAGGCCAGGCTCTTTAACCATTTAGTAACCTCTTTGATCCTAGGCTCAGAGCTGGGAAGAATAAACCAAGAATAAAGTCTTGTTGGAGCCAGGCAATTAATTTCCCAATTAATAGTTCCCCCATTGCTTCCCTAAGGACCCTTGGTATTCACTATGGCAATACCTTATATTTGTCACTGTTTCATTTCCTTCTTGTTTCCCTCTGACAGCCTCCTTTGATTTAGCTCAATGAAGATAGGTAGGCTAGTATCAAGCAAGTACACTGAGCTGCATATGTTATCCATAGAAAAAAAAATATAGCTATCTCCCTTATTCTCCACACCATAACAACATTAATAATAAACAGATACCAATTCTACAGGTTGTAATGGTGGCCACTGTACGTAAGGATTCTCCAGAACACTTGTTGCAAGTCTCCTCCAATTATTACTCTAAAAAGGTGGTTGGTACTTTTCATAATCCTGTTAGAGTGAAATTGACAGAGTTGGAATTTGAAGGCACATGGTAGGTACAGGGCAATGCAAGCACCCCACCAATGTGCCTTAGGACTAAGCTGGAGGAACCCTCGTTAGGGATGAAAGGTTAGTTTTCTCTGCTCAGAGTTCCAAAAAAGGCCTGCTTCTTATTTTCCTTTCTTTTCTTAAATAGACGTGCCCACAGAGAACTGGTCTAAAATTATCAAATCACATCTGTCACTGAACAGCTGGCAGGTGATAATGATTTTTGGTCTCTACTGATCTGTGCTGGATTCAAAGTGATGACTTAGATGTGAAAGGGTCTATATTGCACTGCCAGTCCCCTGAGTCATGCAGTGCCTAGTGCTCATGGAAAGTTTCTAGTGCTAATACACTATATAGGCAAGTGCCTGCACTCAGAAAAATGTTCTATAGCAAACTTAGTAACTCATTTTTACTTTAAACAACAGTTAACATATTAAATTCATCTGGGAAAGCACAAAAATTACAAAGCATTTGATCACTAAATATGGTGTCAATTGTCTCACGCTTGTTATCAGTTCTCTAACCTTCACATGAAGGTCACAACAAATATTTTCCTCTATAACGTAACCAGGAAGTGTTTGTACTGTATATACTGAGGTAGAGTCTTGATGCATAGAGGACTCCGATTAGATATAAATGACACAGATGTTTTTGGAAAGGTTGGATAGATACTGGGTATATTATACTGGTGATATATATTATTTTCATTAAAATGTTAAAAGATCACAGTATTGTGCTCTCAGTATGCTAAGCTATGAAATTTAACACGTAGCAGCAACAGACTTGCTGGTGTCTTCTGTCCGTATACATTACAGTAACGATTACGTAAATGAGCAAAGACACAGAAACCAAAGCCCGGTCCCTCAGAATTGTATGTAGACCCCAATACTGAATACACCTATTCATATGCCTAAACGTAAGCACATACCTAGCCTATTGACTTCAGTGGAGCAATGCACATGCTTAGGTTTAAACATGTGTCTAGGTATCTGCAGAATTGGAGCCTTAGAATGCATTGCTCTATGTAACCTTGTGAACCTAATGGGCTGTATACAGGCAGAGGGATCCATGATAGCATGTTTGATTGCAGGGTTTCATTGTGTTGTACTGTTCAGAATTGGAACAAGATTTTGGAAATGGATTTTAGGACTGAATAAAGCTTTTCCAAATAGTATTCAATAGCTCCTTTCCAAATATTTTGAGTGCTACAGTACTACTACTTACAAACTCCACATAAATATTGGCTCTATATATCAAAAATTCATGACTCAACGGGTAAAGCATGACTCACATCATAATTAGTCCCATCTTTACAGCTTCAGCACTTATGGTGGCCTGGCTGTTTTGAAAATGCAGCTGCTAAGAGCTTCAAAGTTGTTATGATATCAGATCAGAAGTGAATAGCTCTAGTAAATGAATGAAAACCTTCTACTGACCCGTGAAATTAAAATATCAGACTTGTAAACCAAGTAACTCTGCTGTGCACAAATTGATGGCAATTACTCTCACCATAATTATCTTGAAGTTAAAAATCTCTCATTATGCAGAGCCGTTAAGAAACCAGCCCTGCTGCTGTTTTAAATGCAAAACTTCTGTCTTCACTACTAGGGATTACTCATGTGGAAGAGCTGCAGGATTAGGTCCTAAATTAACTTTAGGATTAAAAAAGTAAAACAAAATAAAAAATCCAGGAGCCCAGTGTCTTAAATTATTTTTTCTTCTCGACATTTTTCATAGCTCCAAGTACACTGATCAAGCTGAAAGTCATCAGCACTTTGAAATTTGATTCTCCACATCACAGTCATATTAGATGTATCATCCAAGGCTAAATGCTAAATAAGAAAGCAGGAATTAAATGCCTCCTGCCTGGAACTCCCATTGCCTTCAATGGGAGATTCATTCATGGTGAACCTACAGGATTAGGCCCACAGCCAACTATGGAGGAAAGATGATATCTCATACGTACACACATCAGCCACCTCAGGTTATTTAAATAGATGCTTTTTGTGTTTGTTTAGAAACAAACAAATCATTACTCCCAAATTCAAGCCCTGAGCCAGCAGTTCATATTCACCTGGTAGTAATTGTAATAGATCTGATTATTATAGTCTGCATTTATAAAGGGCCCTTTGCTGTGGCAGCTAGAGCACTTCTCCACAGCAGTTAAAAGCAGGCCCGCCTGGGTAGACACAGCAGTTAAGTTACTGCAATGTCTGCCAGGAAGAAAGAAAATGAAAAACTAAACAAAAATCTCAAACTCAGATCAGTCTATCTTGCCCCATAGCTCTTGAAACCAGCCAGCTAGTTCATTTTATTCATGCTCTGCATTTGCATTAGAGATGGTTGTGAACTTGAGAACCACTGTGTGGGGACGTCAGGGACCGTCTTTTTGTTCTGTGTTTGCACAGCACCTAACGCAATGGGCCTTTGTCCATGACCGGGGCTCCTAATTTGAGCTCAGAACTTGCATGATGTTACTCCCCGATGTGAACTATTGACACGCCAAAGAGTATATTATTGACTGGAGTTAAGGTTTATGGCAGAAAATTATTGCCCTGCAAATTAACAGCACAACTGGGTTTTCACCGTAGTGCTACGTACATAGACACAGCTCTAGGTTACCACACAATGTGCTGTGTGACCATTAGCATGGTGCGGAGGCCAGTGAAGTCTCCTGTCTGTCAGGCTGCAGACAGTCCTGGATTCCATTAAAATTGGCCTGGTTTGCCAGTCATTACATCGCTGGGATACACAAGCTGAATGTTGTCGAAGGGAAGCTCTCATCCCCACAGTACATTTTTAAGGGCTATTTGAAGAAAAAAACAGACTAAGTTTTGGACTGTAGAAATGCAAAGGGGGTTTCCTCTTGAGGGGGAGAATTTCTGCTTCCAAAAGTCAACGCTGTGCTTACAAGCCAAGTTTTCCAGACAAGTATTGATCAGGACACAGCATTGCCCAGACACAGCGGGAGCTATTTCCAAATGACTGGCTTGCCCTTCCTTGCTGAGGCCTGACAAATTCATTGCAGAGAATGCTCCTAAATGCCCCCAGCCACTGCTCCAACTTCTACTCCCAGCGCTGTGCACTCCCTGCAGCCAGTCACTCACCCATAACCACTGGATGCGCTCTGCGCACTCTCTCCAGCCACCCCAGCTCTCCGCACCCCCTGCAGCCAGTCACCCACAGCCACCAGACGTGCTCTGTGCGCCCTCTCCAGCCACCCCCAGCTTGCGCCCCCTGCAGCCAGAGTCACCCATACCCACCAGATGTGCTCTGTGCGCCCTCTCCAGCCACCCCCAGTTTGCGCCACCTGCAGCCAGAGACACCCACAGCCACCGGACACGCCCTGTGCGCCCCCTGCAGCCACCCCCAGCTCTGCACACCCCCTGCAGCCAGAGTCACCCACAGCCACCGGACGCGCTCTGTGCGCCCTCTCCAGCCACCCGCAGCGCTCCTTCCAGCCGGAGCTGCCGCTGCCTGGGAGACGCGCTTCGAGCGCAGCCAGAGCGCCTGCCCCCTCCCCAGCAGCTGCCCGTTTGGAAGTGAAGAGCGCTCACTGACCTGGCATGATGGCGGCAGCTTGGGGATCCCGGCCGGGGCAGTGCGTGGAGACTTCCTTGTTTGCAGCCGCAGCTGCCAGTCCCTCCCCTCCGTACGCTCACAGGCCCGTCCTCCTCCGACTGGCAGGCGGCGGCTGCAGGGAGCCCCAGCTGCTGGGGCTCCGGTTACAGCCTGATGCCTCCCTTCACCAGTCTCTCCAACATCATCCACCCGCCCAGCGGCACGTCAAAAGAAGCCGCCGCCCGCCCAGCTCTCAGCAGTGAAGGTGGCCCAAGGGCTCCTTCTCCTCGCTCCCTCCCCGGGCCTGGCAGATGTCAGCTGCAAGCTGCATGCCAGGTGGTGATGGGGACCTGTTAACTCCTGGAACAAGGCACCGACGCTAATGACCCAGAAAGAATCAAGATCAAATGAGCACTGGTGTTCTGAGCCTTGGCTCCCAGTCCCAGCTACAGGGGCTCAGCAGCACCCCTGTGTCCCGGAACTGGCCTCCTTTAGACATTCCTTTTCTTGGTACTTAATCCCGTCTGTAGTAGGGAAATGGAACAGGAGGAGCAAGGCAAGGGGATGGTTATTCAGTACAAAGCAAGCACGCTCCAGACAGCAAGGGAAGTCAGCTCTTCAGTGCCCAGGTAGGGGAGAGAGCGTGTGTGTGAAAAGGGGCCACTGGCAGGGTATTCAGAGGTCACATATGCAAGAGAGCAATGCCCTCGGTTGGTGGGCAGTGAAAGCAGTCTTTCATGCACACTAGCTATTTACTAGAAATGGGCTCAAGGCATAACATTCCATCCAGCTTTCCAAAGCCTCCAACTGGATGGATTTTCTATTTAGTTTGTGCACAACACTAGAAGGTAATAGCTGTAGGGGCTCAGAGCTGCCCTGCGATGGGAGGGTGTGTGAAGTGGGACCAGTCACACCAAATAGCACTTACTTACTTACTTGAGCAGTCCTGCTGAAGTCCAGGGGACTACTGGCTTGATTCAATGCTACCAGTGTAAATAGAGATTACAGAGTAAGATCTCAGATCAGATGACCCAGCAAAGTGCATGGAGCACCATGTGCCGTGCATCCCTGTGCCCTAGCAAGATCCCTGTGACAGAGAAACAGCTCCCTATTTCTCACCAGTCAGGACAGGATTTGGTGATGTTCTAGTGTGACCCAGGGACCTCTTAGGGTACGTCTAAACAGCAATTAAAGCCCCCGCAAATGGCCCAGGTTAGCTGACTCAGCTCAGGCTTGTTGAGCTCAGGCTGTGGGGCTGTAAAATTCAGTGTAGACGTCTGGACTCAAGCTGGAGCCTGAGCTCTGAGATCCTGCAAGGGGGACAGGCTCCTAGAGTCTGGTCTCGAGGCTCCAGCCTGAGCCCAAACGTCTACACTGCAATTTTTAGCCCCATGTGGCCAAGTCAGCTGACTCAGGCCAGCTGTGGCCATGCCGTGGGTCTTTTATTCCAATGTAGACATACCTGTAGTGCCAGCAGGCACTTCATGTATGGATAATATGAAGGAGTTATGTATCTACACTGAAACTTATGTTCTTAAGGTCTGTGAGTTGTGGTCAGTCACCAGAAGTAGATAAACAAGTTTCTTTCAGGCAGAAGGTATTCATCTATTGGTCGGTCTACATATAAACTGAGTACTGTACACTTCACAATAAATGCCTATTTACAATCTGAGCAAAATGATTGCAAACTCTCTAGGGGAGACTCCAGACAGGAAAACACAAGCAGCAGCGGTTATCCTGTTTGCAAGTGAAGACAATGGATTTGTGGATTATTACTGAAGGGACAGAGACAAACGCTGCATCTTTCCACAGAGGAGGCAAGAAGACAGAGTGACTCGCCCTATGAACAGAAGTTCACAGCCACGCCTGGCTGTAGTATGCTGGAAGGATTTGGGGTGAGCTTTTGTTCTACATGACATGACAATGGCTTGGTAGTTAAGATTAGGCTGTAGTGCAGCATTTTTCAAAGTTCGGGTCGCGACCCAGTAATGGGTCGCAGCATGTAAGGCACTTGGTCGCTCTGGCAGGGCCGGCTCTAGGTTTTTTTGCCACCCCAAGCAAAAAAAATAAAAAATTATCCGGAATACCCCCCCTGAAATTGTGCCACCCCAAGCACGTGCTTGGTTTGCTGGTGCCTAGAGCCGGCCCCGCACCAGCTCTTCTTCAACTGGGTCTGCAGAAAAAAAAGTTTGAAAACCACTGCTCTAGTGTGCATGTTCTGATTTTAATTGTTTATGTTACTCTTTGTTTCCAATATTTCTGCTTGCTATTAATTGAATCTCTGCTTTGTTAAATAAACTTACGCTTGCTTTCTCTAGAAACACAGCTCCACTTCACATGCAGCATTTAGATATGTTCTGTGGTGTAACCAGTAAGCAGGGGCGGCTCTATGTTTTTTGCCGCCCCAGGCACGGCAGTCAGGTGGCCTTCGGAGGCACTCCGGTGTGCGGTGCATGCTGGTCACGCGGATTTGGCGGCGTTTCTGTGGGTGATCTGCCGGTCCCGCACCTTCAGTGTACCTGCCGCCGAATTGCCGCCGAAGCCGCGAGACTGGAGGACCTCCCACAGGCGTGCCGCCAAAGACTGCCTGACTGCCTCCCTCACGGCGACAGGCAGGCCGCCCCCCCCGTGGCTTGCGGCCCCAGGCATGCGCTTGCTGCGCTGGTGCCTGGAGCCGCCCCTGCCAGTAAGGGGTGGTTTATTGTTCCTCTGGGAATTCTGGGACTGTCCAGTGGATCAGGGGCTGGGCACACCAGGGAGACACTCGAAGGACTCGGAGGTTAGAGTGTGGCTGTTGTTAACCTGTAAAGAGACAGTGAGGCCTGTGGAGGCCTGGAAGGCAGGGCTTAAGTTGTGGGCAATGAAAATGATTAGGGGTATGGAACAGCTTCCATATGAAGAGAGATTAAAAAGACTGGGACTGTTCATCTTAGAAAAGAGATGATTAAGAGACGATAGAGATTTATAACATCATGAATGGTGTGCAGAAAGTGAATAGGACGTGTTATGTACCATTTCATATAACACAAGAATTAGGGGGTCAGCCGATGAAATTAATAGGCAGCAGGTTTAAAATAAACATAAGTAAGTACTTCTTCTCACAACACACCGTGAACCTGTTGAATTCACTGCCCTGGGATGTTGTGAAGCCCAAAAGTATAAATGGGTTCAAAAAAGAACCTCATGCTCCTGCCATAAACCTCTGACTGCCAGAAGCTGGGACTGGATGACAGGGGATGGATCACTTGATAATTGCCCTGTTCAGTTCATTCCCTCTGAAGCATCTGGCATCAGCCACTGTCAGAGACAGGACACTGGACTAGATAGACCATTGGTCTGGCCTAATATGGCCATTTTTATGTTCTTACGAGTCAGAGACCTCAGTGGTGGCAGCAGGAGTTCTAGTTAAGGTCTGACCTCTGGGAGGTAGACAAAGAGTTTATTAAACAGACCAACGTAAATGGTGGAGTGTGCCAGGGATGGAGAGACACTGGAGCACATATTTCTCTAGTCAGGAGAGATGTGCTTAAGGAGGCTGATATAATCCCAGGGGAGGAAGTAAAATTCCTAGCCTTGGGGCAGTTTAAAACCATAGTGCTTTTAGCCCGCATTGAGTTAGAGTGGGAAGGTTTAAGGGGTACTTTGAATATGGAGGTCTTAAGAATTTACCAGCTGATATGTTGGTTGGAAATGACATCGTATCACTGCCCAAAGCTGTTAGCATTGTGACTCGTAGCAAAAAGAAGTGTGTCTCTGAGTTCCCAGAGGTAACCTCTGAGGAGGGAGAGGCAGTAAGGGGATGGGGAAGAAACCTCTGTGCTCTTATCAGCAGAAAGTAGCAATGTGGCTGTAGGGCAGGGAGAGGTGGAGTCATCCCCTTTACTTGAGGCAGCCCTCAGTGCAAGTAAAAGCCAAAGGGAGTGTGCTGCAGAGCAAAGTGCAGATCCATCTTTGGAAAGCATAAAAGGGCCCACACACGGCAACAACCCAGAGAGCTAGCTCAAGGGGAGTTTCTTTACAGAGCAGGAAAGATGTACAGACCTACATCTGTAAAGAATCTCCCCTTGAGGAAGACCCAGTGGACAAAAACAGAAGTCAGGGGGATCCCTACAAAGAATTGATTCTAGTAAATCAGCATTTTAAAAATCAAATGTTTTTACAGTTTTTTCTGCTTGTTTACCTTTTGCATTTCACTCAGCATGGCCAATGAAACTGTACAAGGGCTTAAAAGGTTCCCTCTTTTGTCTTTGGTTACTATAATAAACACCTCACCCTGCGAGCAGGGTGGAGGATTAAATGGATTCTGCTGACTCACTGAGGCAGATGATTTATTCACAGAAAGTCACCTAGACCACTGGTTTTCAACCTGTGGTCCGTGGATCCCTGGGAGTCTGCAGACTATGTCTAAGGCAGGGGTTCTCACAACAAAAATTTTGGTGGCCTCAGAGTGTGGCCACCAACTCTTGCTGGTGGCCGATCTGACAATTTTTCCTAAAATACTGAATTAACTTTAGGAAAAACAAAAAAATATGTACATATACAGGTCCAAATCAGTTTAATTTATTTATGTAGGATTTTTTGCAGACCTAATAATAAAAATAACGTACAGTTGTCTGTATTCTATACTGGATCTAAACAGAATAGAAACACAAATAAGGTGCTTTGCATGTTCTTGTCTTTTGTTGTTGTTTTTTGTTGTTGTTTGTTTTTTTGGGGAGGGGGTTTATGACTTGCTAGCTAGTAAGTCTGCTTCTGTGAAAAGTGATATTTGTATGTTTGCTAATACCACCTTTCACATCAGCAGACTTGATAGCTAGAAGGCAGTGAAAAGTGACATTAACAAACATACAAATACCACTTTTCACAACAGACTTACTCAGCCCTGGTAAGCCGGAGGACAAATTAAGCCCTGGATGGGGAGGTGGGTAGGGAGGCAGTTGGGGGACCAGGGGAGGCAGCAGAATCTAGGGGCGAAGGGGTGGCGAGGCTGGGGCCAGAGCCTGCAGCCATAGGATAGAGCCTACTGCCGTGTGGCCAGACGAGCCCACCACCCCAGAGCTGAAGCCGGAAGCCTGAACCCCACCATCCCTGGGAAGGTGGGGAACACACACTGACTGCCTGCTCCTCTGGCGTTTGTGGCTCCCCTGCTTCCTCCCCTCCTCCCCCCACAATCAGCACCCAGAGGCTGTGGCCGCAAGAAAAGCCCCTGGTGGCCGCCTGGGGCCATGGTGGCCGCATTTGAGAAATGCTGGTCTAAGTGGTCCATGAAAGTTGGTCATTACTATGGAACAGTGGTTTTCAACCTATGGTCTGGGGAATGTGGGGGTCCATAGATTAGATTTCCATAGGGGTCTCACACCTCCATTTGAAATTTTTTAGGAGTCCGCAAATGAAAAAAGGTTGGAAACCATTGACCTAGACCAAATTCAGGATCTAAGGCACCAGATCTGCAAACATGGAAGGCCAGATTTTTGAAAGCACTGAGCACCCGGCAGATCCCATTGTGACACTGATGGGCAGATTTTCAAAAGAGCTCATATTCAACATGCTCAGCTCTTTTGAACCTCTGTCCCTTTCACACATGAATTGCCCCAATGAAGTTGGTCACTCATATAA